GATTTCATGGCACGATACATTCATAATTAAATTATACAATCTGTGTTTGCATATAATTATTAAATTAATTATGGTTTCGATATACAATAAAATATACCCATTTCTCACAATAGAAATTTAAATACTTATTAAAAAATCATGTACACTAGATTTATTTGTTTTGTTATATAATACAATGCACAATTTTCATTGTAATAAAATAAAATATTTAAGTTAATGTATGATGATAATGAATAATGTGATTATAATGAAAATTGTACATTTGGATATTAAATATAAACGAACAAATAATTTGTTGTCTATTGTTACATTTATAATTATGATTATATATTCATATAATCACGAAATAAAAATGGTCTGTAACAAAAATTATATGTGTTGACAAAGTATATGAACGAAAGACTCATATATTTATTTATTATTATTGTGAAACATAAACGGATGTTAAAATATTGCTTAAATTAAAAGCTTCACGGAACTTAAGATTCCGTCTTAATAACATTAGAAACTTCAAATCTGCTTCTAATTGTATATCACAAATATGTCATACTGTGTTTGCAAAATTAATAGCCAGTGTATCAGCATTACTCGGTAACAATGGGAAAAGCGCGATATATTATTGACGCAATGTCTATCAAAGAGATACAGAAAGAGAGAAAGAGAGAGAAAAAGTTAGGAAGAATGAGAGCGAGAGTGAGAGAGAGAGAGAGATGTTTCAAATCGATCAAAATGTACCATAATCTCGATAATCAATTCCAGAATCGGTCTCAGCCCGTCTCACAGTCGTTTCACACGATACAGACACGTAACATACACGATACACACATATAATACAATCGTGTACATGTTTCACTTTGTTTCTCCCATCCTTCGCGAGTAAGATCGCCCTAAATTCTCGTCTATTAAGCCTCGACGTATATGTATACCGCGCACACTAACCACGACACCAATATCGTAACTCTTGCGCAGCTGCAACACGGTGGGGCTCTGGGTAAGAAAACACTTGGAATAACTTTGAATATATATTTTTCGATTACTTCGTGCCAAAAGTTCCTTCACCCCATCTCATTCTGACAATAACCCCCAGGGCATTCGTCTCCTTTACCTTTTCTCTCTTCGAGATTCTTTAATTTACGAGATTCTTCTCTCTTTAACTTACGAGAGATTACATACACACTTCTTTTATCAATATCTTCGGGCTTTGAATGAATTTTCTTTTTAAAGTTAAACACTTGAATAGAATATTTTTATTTATTTTATTAAAAAATTAATACAGTTGATAAATTTCCCTCTTAATATTTGATTCTCAACCTTTTCAATATTTAATAAATATCAATGCTTGTTTTAAATTTATTTTAAGCGATTGAGAATTAAATTCAAAATTTTTTCCATAATTTTACCTATATATTGTAACTCTCTCTAATAATAATCATGCATAAAATAATAATATTAATTGTAAAGTCTAATTATAATTATATGCATATGACTGTATGTGCTGACTTATTGTTAAATTATCTCTCAGCACATTTTGTCCATTTCTATCGTTTTTATATTACATGACATATCAAAGTTATATCTAATTATCTAATTTTGGCCTAAATTCTACTGCAATTTATAGATCGCTTAAAATGAGTTGAAATTATGTTGAGATATCGTACATACAATTTCTACTTTTCTCTTAATCAATATACGAATGTTAAAAAGTATTAAAAGAAACCCCTGCTTTCAAATTTTAGAGGAAGTCCCATTTCTTTCCCTCCACCGATTCTTCCCGAGTTGTTTACGATGTATTTCAGGATTCTTGATCGCTCACGTGGACCTGCTCTTCATCGTCGATGGAGTTTGCAGGTGAGAGATCATTTAATCGATCTTTTGAGACGGGATACGAGCCCTGAACCTAAACACTTGACTTTTAACAAAGCCACCGTGTTACGGAGCACGACACAGTTACTGCGGTTGTAAGCCGGGCTATAACGTTTCGCGCATCAGACTCAGGAGTAGCTTGCAGGAAGCAGCTTGCGGTTTCTGAACTCTGGATAGCTTTGCTTGAAGCTCGACAGGCAAACACAGAACGTGAATTAATATGTACAAAGGCTGTCATGTGTGACGTTTAAAATAGCGGATATAATTGAACTACCAATCGCGTATATACGAGTATATCCCAACTATCATTAAATTAATACATGTTATATCAAAGTGTAACATTTATTGCTTGCATTCCAGGCACGTCATTTTGATCAGCTACCTTTAATTACTATTCGAATCATTCGGACTGCTTCACGAGCAGTTCGAATGATTCCATAATTTTAATTTACAATTAAAAAAAGATTTAATATGCCGTATTATCTAAAAAGATAATAAGTATTATATGAATCATTGCTCTGTGAGATTCTTCTAGTAAAAGTTGCGACACACCCTTAGTAAACAA